AAGGAAAGGGAAATGGAAAATCAAGTCAACTCTAGGGAGACCTATGAAAGCAAAACATTATCAGGACAATCAGAAACCAAGAAGTGACCACCAGCCAAACCAGAGGAACAGCTACGCATGAAAGTTCTGATGAATGACCGCTGACGGTATCACTGATAGTCCAGCACAAAATATACACCAAAGTGTCTCTCTGGTCCAGCTTTGGCTGCTGAAGCTCCACATACAAGCTCCTCATTAGTGATCACCCTGACTCTCTCAGGGGTCACTTGTCTTGAGGTTCCATGCCTTCAGACATAAGGGTCCCTCAAACAGAACCAAAGAACTGATCAACTTCTTCAGCACGGAGCTACAAGGTCTGGTAGAGAGGAGGAACATCACTGAGGAAGACTGTGAGGGCTCAATATCCCCGCCCCCCATTCTGCTAAATTGACCAAACCACATTGGCCTTGAAGCAGAAATGCTCCTACCTTCACATCTGTAGAGATGGCATAGCACCACACATGGGGAAAAGTGCTGGCAATATTCCAATTATAAAGAAATGAGGAGTTTAGACAAGTTGCTGACCCAGTTATCAGAACAGCCCATGCTTTCTTATTGCCACAATGATGGTACAGAGCCAGAGACACAAGAAATAGAGAGGTTTAAGTTGTCTCTGTGTAAACTTGGACAATTAATTTAACATCTCTGAATTTTTGATTTCACATGCATACAATGAAGATAATTCCATCCACCTTCTAGATAGAGTTGTCATAGAGAATTCAATGCTAAAAGATATGGATTCAATGAATGCTAATTTCATTCCCTTATCCTCATCCAAGTTTCCTTGGTTTCTCTTTGAGGACATTGAGTGGAAACCACCTGTTAAAGGGATTCTTAAAATGCTCCCCGTGAGAGGGATAACCTGAGGAATTTAATGGTACTACTAAAATAAATAAAACTTAATCAGAATTTAAGTTGTTTTCCATTGCATTCCACACTTTAGAGAAGTTTAAATTTAGTTGTCTTTTCACCTTAAATAAATAAATAAATAAAATTGCATCAGTCAGTAGCTGAAAAGGTCTTATCTAAGTTAAATGAATTTGATCCAACACAAATCTGCACAGATTAACCGCCATGGAATTTACCATGTCAAAGCATCCAATTTCACAGACTTTCATGCACTATTTCAGCACTAAATCAGCCAAATGTCCTTGAGAGCCTACTATGTACTCAGGCCAGAGGGTAGAAAAAGGCATCATAATTTCTCTGAGAACACATGATCTTGTTAGAGAGAAAGATACATGGATTACAAGATAGCTAACAATGCCAAGCTATGGGGGTTGCATTCCAAGTTAATGGTAAAGACCATATGCACTGTACGAAGTCAAAGGGGAGTGCAGCCCCTCTACAGAACGGTAAGCATGGTTCCACCAAGGATGGGAGCTTCACATTAGTCCAAAAATGAGAGAGCATGCAAAGAACGGCAAAGGAGAATAAAGGGCATTACTGAAAAGGCAAGCGGCATGAGAGTGGTCTTGCATGGGGGTATGCAAGGCTTCGTGCAGACACGGTGAGAAGGCACATCTGGCTGGGCATGCATTACCCTCAAGCCTCATGAGAGAGACAGAAACCAGGCCACGGATCCTTGAGCAACAGGTCCCACGCAGAAAGCACTGGGGTGAAGAGACTTTCAGATCCAGCGAACAATATGTCCCAAATGTTCTGGGTGATTCTTGATTTGTTGCTCCCTTTCTTCCCATTTGTATTTGTCTAAATTTTGGTTTAAAAATAACAGCTCCTGCTACCAGCAGATCACAGAGCACCTATCCCAAAACCTTGTGCATTGGTGATCTATAATTTCCTGTTGAGCTGAACTGAAAAATAATATGGCTCAAAGAGCATTCTAGAACTTGTCTTGCTGAGCCTCATCAAAGAAGTTTCCAACAACTGTTGTCACCTGAGTCCCCTTCCTAGAAATGTGATTTCTTATCCCCATTGCCAAATGTGGAGACCATATAGTGTGGCCTGAAGTCATGAGTGAAAAGCACAGAAGAAAACCTAAAGTTAGTACGTGAAATTTTCATCTATTTTTCTTCATTCATAAGTGTAGCAAAATGTGTATAGAATACCCGGAAATAGTGAAGGCTGTGTGAGTAGATTCATCTTCTGGATGTGACCTGAAGCGATTGGAAAGCCCTCTTGCTGGCAGTCTTCATTACCATTCTAGAACCTACATTTAGAATTGTGGACTCCCGTGCTCTGAAGCTCTCTCAGTCTGAGCAGACGAATTGACTAAATGTTTACTCTTGAACTTCTCTGAACACTAACTTCTGCTTTTCAGTTTGTCGTGTCAATTTGTCTGAGCACTGAAATGGAAAACTGAATAGTTATTTCAAAAGTACAGATGGAGCCCCTTGTTTATAGTATAATTCTTTACACCAAATGGAACTGCAGGAGGTTCAAAATTTGTAAAGGTCTTCCAAAAATCCAAACACATTATTCATTTCAACAAATCTGACAATTTTTGAACTACATAAATTTTTGAACAATTTTTTTAGTCCATTCGTGTTAACTGAGGTTAATTTGAAGATATTGCTACTTCCTAAAAGAAACAGTTGAATTCCAGAAGGCAATTTATGCCAAAACATAATTCACTTGGACTCTTCTATCTTGAGTGAACAAAGAAATTACCTGTTAGTAAGGACATTAAAATTAAAAAAAAAAAAATCTAGTCAAACTCATTTTATAGTTACCAGCTAAATGCTTTTAACAAAGTGGTAATGTGTTTCAATCCACTCACATGAAAAATAAAATACAGACATTAGCTTTTCCCATATCTCATTAATTCTTATACTGTTGTCATTACATTTTTTATAAGCATTTAATCCTGCGCTTTAAAGAAAACAGATTTTTTGTAAGGTGGGGAGGATGAAATTTAATGGGGAAACAGAATAATTTTAATTTATTTCAGCAAATTATGTTGGCTAGAGAGATTATGGCCTAAACTAGATGGTATTTTGACAATTCTCCAATGACAGGGTGTTTCCATTATAGGTGATTTTCAAACCATGCTTTCAGAGAGAGCACTGTAACTGTGTGTTCTTCTGGCATATTTTTAAATTTTGAATGCTAAAATTGCTACCTATAAAGGAAGATGAACAGAGAACAGTGAAAGCTGGAAGTCTGGCCAATTGCCGGGCTTTTAGGCTTTCTTTCTTTTTTTTTTTTTCCCACAGAGAAATACAAATTGCTTCTTGAAATAAAATTAGTTTCTATCTTTGGACATTTTCAATGAGACATTAGTGTTCAATTTGATTTAGATGGGGGAGAAATCTAAACCTGATTTTTCTAAATCACCTTTGCATTTTACTGCTGATTGACACAATAAAATAAGAGAGCTATGCCCCAGAGAGTAGGTTCCCAAAGAAAAAATATATGATTTGCAAAGTGACTTGCATAATTAGGCTAACTCACCATCCAAGTGTGCCTTTCTGATACCATCAAAGATAACTGTGGGGAGGAGAAAAATCTAACCCTTTTACTTTTAAAAATGAATCTCCATCACAACAACAAAAGAAAAATTTGGAATTTCATGAGGATTACTCAGAATCCTCCAAAATAGTCTTAGCTTTGTCAAATCTGGATTTAAATGTCAGTAATTTAAGGCTAGCTTTATGAATACAATGTCTATCTCCTGCAGCTGGGCCATATTATTTCAGTGACTTTTTTTTTATGCTGAAGTTGGCTATAAGTTCTATGCTTGATTTATGAAGCAAAACACTCTATTTACTGTACAAAGCCATAGTGCTGACATGCGGGGTCACTCAGTAATGCATTTGGAGTGGAGCGTGGGAACAGGGTTAAATGAGCAACATGCAATGGTTTATGAATGCAAAATGTGGCTTTTACAAAAAGAAAGCAAGACTCGAAGGGCCCAAATGAAAATTGTGACAAACAGTAGCAAGCTGTTTGAATTTATTTGTAAGCACAAAGATTACATTTGACTAGGCAACTTTGGATTGCACTGTAAAGTGCAAAGTGTAAAAAAATCAAAGAAAAATGAAAGTACAGACTTTCCAACCACCCCCAGGGTGGTGGGCTTCCAAATGCTTAGGAACTTCTCATGCTCATATGGGTTCTCCATTTTAACAACTGCTTCTGGTTCAGGGACCCAGGAATCTGGGTAATAAATAGGGAAATGGTCAATACAAATATCTTTGGTTTTGATCACAATTGTCAAATTTGAATGATTCATAACCTGAAAAACCTCAGACACATGTGTTAACACAACACAGAGATAATTTCATCATATTCTGAATTTTAATTCCCAAATTAAAGCTGAGCACTCATGTAGATTCTTTCTCATAGAATCAAGAAAAGATTAGATGAATGGATGAATGGTAAGGAGGGCTACTGATTTTTCTCTTCTGGTATTTATCTTGGGGGTGTGAAGGGAGGAGGAGCAACTTTTCAAATTTTATTAAATGGCCGTGAAAACCGCGTGGAGTTCAGGTGTGAGATGAAGAATGCAAACTTGGAAAGGGGTGGTCAAGTGATTTGCTGGTTCTTCAATCTATCTTTATTCAAATTCTTCTAAAATCCTATACTTGATGAATTAGAGATAGAAGAACTTCAGAATGAAACATTCTAAATTTGAACCAGGTGAAAATTACAGAATGCTTTTCTTAACGCGTTGAAATGCCAGAGAACATACCAAAAGGGCAGCTAACTTATTTGAAGACTATGCCCCTGGAAGATGTAAGTCTCAGAGACACAACAGCATACAAATAAAAACAGGCAAGAACTTTTCCAGACCTGAGGAACAGCTGGAAAGTCATTGGTGAAAAGAAAGAAAAAGGTGAATGAGAAAAACACGTCCGTAGAAAGCAATCATTTTGGAGGCAGATTTACCCTGTTGCTTCCATTTAAGATTAGGCTGCCACTGCTACTTAACACCTGTCACAGTGGATACTATTTTTACAGTTAAAACAATGCCCACCTGAAGAAATAAAACTTATTACCTTTGAGAAATTATCCTCACAATTTTTTCCAGATTCTCTTCTGGCATTATGGGAGACTTTGCCAGGGTTAACACGTGATCCACAGTGATGCTGAGCCCAAAACTGGAACGGCTGTGTAAAATATTAAAGCTGCCTTAAACATGTTCACTCTATGAAAAAAAAGTAATCAAAAGGTAATGCCCCAAAGCAACTGAATACTGTAAACTTATCTTACAAGGAGATCATTCTTAGATACTAAGGGTCTGACCCAAATGCTTCAGGGAAACTTAATTTCCTGCTAGCTAGGGAAAGAATAACAAACACCTTCTAATTTGACTAAGTCAGGAAGAAAGCGGGTGGCTTCTGCCACCGTTTGTGACTGATAAGATTTCAGCTTAATAGTTACAGTCAGGGAATAGCCCCTGTCTTTATTTGGGACAACACTTTTGCTATCAAACTGATGGAGAATTTTATTAGTCTAAGAGAGGGAGGAAAATAAAAGTATTTGTGCTCCCAAGCCTGTTGGAACACCTCCACATTTTGACTTGAACTAGAGGGTTTGACTTAGCGATATCTGTGGTACCCGTAGCTCAGTAGATAGCCCAATAGCAATGAGGCTGATGCTAACTCAATCCGAGGCACCATTAGGTAAGCTGTTCTTTCTGTTGAAGCAAAGTAGGGAGGCTAATGCCAATTTTTGTAATATTAAAATCTGTCATTGCTGTTCTTCCCCCTGACTACCCTATGGCCATTCTGAAAAGCTATTTGCTATTTTGCTTGGAGGAAAAGAAAGATTGAATGAGCTCACAAATTAGTACAATCTAGTACAGTGTAAGTCTTGACTCTGTGCTTAGCTGGTGTTACCAAGTGTCAGTGCAGTGCTGGGTAGAGATAAAAGGAGTCACAATAAAACTCCACCTTCAAGGGGCTCAGAATATGTTAGGAGTTTAAAAGAGAAGAAAAGAAAACCTTTAAAAATCAGAGATGAAGTAACAGTAGGTAGAAAAAATATAAAGGAACATCAACTAAGAGTAATAATACGAATGGAAATAGCTAACTAACTTATCTGAAGTTAGATTTGCTTGGAATGTTCCCAGTTTTACCACTGAAACTTCCAAGTCCCAGAAAATTCCTCAGTCCCAGGTAAATGTGATGGTTACTGACCCTGTTGCTAACAGTGGTACCTGAGGAAGAGTATCTTTTTATTGTACACCCTTTTGTAATTCTGAATATTATTGTACATGTAGTATCTATTCAAAAATTTTTAACTAAAAATATAAAATGATTCTAGGAAGCCCTAACAACCTGCTTGGGGGAGGGAAAAAAAGGACAGAAACGTGCCAGATAATCCAAAAAATAAAGCCTGGGTTGATTCCAATTTAGTCCCCAGAGAAAAGGCCTCCCTAAACCAGCAATATTGATTCCAGGCCCTTTGAAAACAATGCAGTTGCCACGAGGAGCCTACACATCCTTATATTCAGCAAATAGTATCTACAGATAGAATGATAGACTCACATCTACATGCATCCCTGCTTTTCAGAGATATTTGTAGCAACTACTGTCATAAATAAACCAGGAATTCATTTACAATTTTTAAAAATTCAGTGCATGAGTCTTAGACCTACAGACTTTCAGAGTCGAATGGGACCTTGGAGATTGCCAGATCCAACCCCATTCTTTTACAAATGTAGGAGCAGAGTTGCACAGCTAGTTAATGGAATGTGTGCTCTGTGAACGAATCTACCTCATGGTGCTAAGCTAATTACAGTAGGGTTTCTACAGCTCTTATAGAATTGTGATTAAGTCCTGTGGGGATATGTGATCACCAATTTGCTATCTGTCTTCAGTGGCATTCAACAGTGACTCTCCCCACCCACCCCCTTGATTTATCATATGGTGACAGCCTGGAGTACAGTGGCAAGAAAATAGAGACCTGTATCCCAGGCCTGGTTCTGCCAACTAGCCAAGCGATCTTGGGCAAGTCATTTACAATCTATTGGATTTACCATCCTCATCTAGAAAAAGAAAAGGACTGGTTAAGATGATCTCTGAGGTCCCTTTTTTGATAACATTTTATGAGCCTGTAACCCATTAAGAGAACTTTCTTGGTCAAAGCTTATAGAAAATTGGCTCCTGGAGCTTTAACGGAAGCCAGGATTGCACAGTTAGTCAATGGCAGAGTTACAATTAGAATCTAATTCTCTGGACTCCCTGCTTTTTTATCTACTTTGGTCCCCCCATAGTATACATAATTAAGCTTTCAATGACTGCCATCTGCCCCTGGGAAGTGTGAAATCACAGATCAACATGACTATGGAAAAGAGAAAAGTAGAAGCCAATTCTAAAGTCCAAACTTGGTAACTTGAGATTTTCTATTTTGTGGGCTGTGTACAAGCAGGGATCATTATTAGCATCATTATTACAATTATTGTTAGTATCATTATTAATGACATATTTGAGGGATGCCTTCGAGTTTGCAAATCACATTACATATATGATGTTATTTAAGCCAATATAGCTGTGGGCTTACATAAGATTATACAAGAGAAATAGTTTTTACCACCAACTTATGAGCATGGTGATTGGTATTCCAAGATTGCATTTTCCAATAAGTTAGCTATTGGCCACATATGCCTGTTTAAATTTAAATAACTATAATTAAATAAAAGTTTAAATTCTGCTTCTGTGTGGCACTAGACACATTTCAGGTACTCAGCAGCCACACATGTGTAGCGGCTACCATATTGGCTGGTAGACACTATATTATAGATACAGAGCATTTTTATTTTGTAGAAAGTTCTACTGGACAGCACTGCTCTAAGACAGCAGTCTCCAGCCATTTTGGCACCAGGGACCAGTTTCATGGAACACGATTTTTCCACAGAGCAGGGAGAGAGAGGATGGTTTCGGGATGATTGAAGTGCATCACATTTATTGTGCAGTCAGACCTCTCTGCTAATGTAAACCTCTCCACTAATGATAATCTGTGTTTGCAGCCACTCCCCAGCGCTAGCATCACCTCCTCAGCTCCACCTCAGATCACCAGGCATTCTCATAAGGAGTGCGCAGCCTGGCTAGCTCGCATGCGCAGTTTACAGTAGGGTTCAGGCTCCTGTGAGAATCTAATGCTGCAGCTGATCTGACAGGAGGCGGAGCTGGGGAGCAGCTGTAAATGCAGATGAAGCTTCATGCCTGCCCTCCGCTCACCTCCTGCTGTGCAGCCCCAGTTCCTAACAGGCCACAAACCACTACTGGTCCAAGGCCCCAGTGTTAGAGACTGCAGTTCTAAGAGATTGTGACTTGCCCAAATTTAGTAGCTGATAAGTGGGAGAGCCAGCATCTTCTGACCAAGGACTAGTGGCCTCACCCCAGAGCAGTTTCATCTCACCATCTAGCCTACATATAGTTCCCTTACCATTTAATTAATAGTGCCCACTAAAGAAAGGTAAACCAGTTTTAATACCACCCTTAGAGAGGCACAATAAGGCAGCACCATTCTCATTTACAAAATGTGCAGGACTATCAGGCAGTAGGGCAGACAAGCAAAGTCTGAGCAGAGAGCTAAATCAAGCATATTCATGGGCAATCTGAAAATTAAGTATTTGTTGTTCTGTGTCTATTAAACACTAAAAAATTTTCAAATACTAAATTTTACAAATACACTGTATTTTACAAATACAGTGCCAGGCCTCTACTTTTCAAAGATTATCAATGACCAATTCAGAATCTTGAGTCAGCCAGGAATAAAAAGGAGGCCTGGCCATCAATTCATGAGTGGATTAATAAAATGTGGTATATGTATACCATGGAGTACTATTCAGCTCTAAGAAACAACGGTGATATAGCATCTCTTGTATTTTTCTGAATAGAGCTGGAACCCATACTACTAAGTAAAGTATCCCAAGAATGGAAAAACAAGCACCACATATACTCACCAGCAAACTGGTATTAACTGAGCAGCACCTAAGTGGACACATAGGAACTACAGTAATTGGGTACTGGGCGGGTGGGAGGAGGGAAGGGGGCAGGTATATACATACATGATGAGGGAGATGTGCACCGTCTAAGGGATGGTCATGCTTGAAGCTCGGAGTTTTTGGGGGAGGGGGAAAAAGGGCATTATTTGAAACCTTAAAATTTGTACCCGCATAATATGCTGAAATAAAAAAAAAAGAAAAGAAAAAAAAAAAGGAGTCCTGGAATTCATACCACTTGGAATTCTAGCCAGAACTATTTCACCCACACTTAACACCCTACACTTCCTTTCAAAAGAATATAGGCATATTAAAGGAGAAATTCTGAACATTATCATGTTTTTGGCTTGTACTGATTTTTATACAGTTATCATAGCAAACAGAAAGGCCAGTCATTTGTCTAGTTCCACATCTATAATTAATTATTAATAAAAGTGAGGAGAACACACTCATGGGCTACCCAAAGGGCAACAAAGCCTAAAGAATCTTTTTTCAGCCCACTCTTGAATAGATCAAGGGTATATTTCCTAAAAGAGAAACAGCACAAGATCTGTAAAGTCGGAACTTTGAAGCCACAATAGGTTTTGATTCGAATCCTCACTGACTTTTTCCTAGTTTCATGGCGTCTAGTGAATCCCTTAAACTTTCTGAGACTCGGTTTCCTCATCTAGAAAACAGATAAAATATTACCTACCTTGCGGGTTGCCTTGAGGACTGAGGATAATGCATGTATAACACCCAGCTTTTCTGGATCCAATGTATTGTTATCCACTCAAGGAGAGGTTTATTATAAATAATTTTAGTGAAGGTGAGATGGGATAGAGGATGGGAAGCAGGTGACAATTATGATTGGTAAACCTCAAGTCTCTTAGGTGAAAATTTCCACTTACTCACGGCTTGAATTTTTTCAAGTAAAGAAATGATACAAGTGGCTAAACAGTGCCAGGTGAAAATGTACGTATTTATTAAGTAGGGGGTATTATTATTAATTTCCCTCAAGGGAAAACACTAAGGTGCCCTGTGGTTTAGCCACTGCCATCATTTATTCAATTAAAAACAATCAAGCTATTAATAAGCAGAAATTTTCACCTCAGAGAATTCTAGATTGCCAATCCAAATTGTCACTTGATTGCCATTTTCTATCCCACCTCACCTTAATTGTATTTATTTATAATAAACATCTCATCCAGTGTATAACAATACGTTGGATCCAGAAAAAGTTTGTTTTTAGATATCAGTTACACATGCGTGTGATTATAGATTTCACCCTGGGGGAAAATACAAATACTCATCTTATACCTATGTTTTATAAGAACAAGTTCTGTGGTAACTTCTAAATTCATTATTAGCAAAGGTTGTATTTAAGATTCCTGTGTCTACTGCTTAATAACACTCAAATTAGTCTCGATGGAATTAGCTGTAATTAAGGACATTGTGAAATATGGTGGGGCAAACAGAATTACACTGTATTACTTTATTAATAATATTCTTTAACTACACTGTAAATTGCTATTAGGCCTGCATATTACTGCCTGGATATGGAAATAGTCTTTTGCTATGCTAATCTAACACAATTTTCTTTTAAATGTAAACAAATTATACTCTATTAATATGCTGTTCTACTTGCATAGTTAATTATTGTAACAGTAAGGAATAAAATTGTTCTGCTTTCTCTGTTTCTGATGGAAAAAGGGCTACATAAATAGTTTAATAGGGAACTAATTATGCAAAAAATTTAGATGCCTAAAATGTGTTTGTAATTACATTAAAATGGTCTTCTGTTCAAATATTGGAAAGCCTGCTAATTGGAGGCTAGCTGAAAATTTAAATATTGTGAATCAATGATTTTAATACAGTACATGTTTAGTTGTGTTTCTGTTCATATTTGTCTTGAAAATGAAGAGAATATTTAACAGTGTTTAATAAGAGGGGATCTGAGTCTCATGCCAATGAAGTAAGTCTGCGGCAGACTGGAATTTTAAGCATGTATTTTACAGCATTATCTTTAATTTACTCAAGAGGTGTGGGCAACTTTTGGCTCAGTAACAAGAAAAACAAAAGTATACTGCTTGCAGGATAAGTTGATGTGAAAGGAAAATCTGATGTAGACCAAATCAGAAAGAGTCCTGGAAAATGCCCCACGACAGGCAAACCAGAGTTGATACGGTTGAAAATTGCTAAATTGTTTCAGATAAATAAACACATGTAGCAGATCACCTGCCTATTCTCCGAGGATTTCCAAGTGCATCACCTTATCTGGTCATAATTAGAGAGTGTTAAGGATGTAGTGCCTTGTCCTAAATGATTCTCCGTGGCATCCAAGCTTTTTGTTTTGATGTGGAACCAAGGTTCTTAATCTGAGAAAAACACAATGCTAAAATAAGCCCACTCTTTTGGAGAGAATTTCAACAACCTGTCCTGAATTTTAAACTATTTTGGAAAAAAAAGAAGGGCAAACCGTTCATTATAATTTTTTTTATGACAATACAAATGAGAGTACTGCATATGTAACCAGGATTAATTGCACAGATAATTGGAAGCCCAGAAATAACTTTATAATTTAAAATTCTTGCCTACTTAACAGAGCTGTTGTAAGGATCAAGAGATATAATGCACACTTGAAAGCCTGTTGAAGACTAGAAAGCTCACCAGCAAGGTAGCAAGACAATCATCATGGTTATTAATAATAATGAAAAGATGAAATGTAATTTGGCCTGTTAACGTAATCCCTGCCATAGTTCCTTCCACTCGAACTTCTATAGCTGTCATACCCTGATGGTACAAGGCAGTGATTAAGTTTGAGCTCTGGAAGTAACAGGCCAGACTGTGAATCCTCTCTCTACCTCGTAGGGCCTGGCAGTCTGATGGATGATGCTCTGTGGATCTAAGTTTTAGTACAGGGACAGTCACAACCAGTCAATTGACAGACTTCTCATAAACCACTGCTACATTGTTTGACTTAAAGGATATCTTTTGCTGATTTTGAAAGAGGAAAAGAAAAGACCCCCAAATAGGTTGTAAGCACATTTAAAGATACTCACTATGCGTCGGGCAGAGCCCAATTCTTTAGCCTGGTGGTCAAGACCTTCTGCCTCGTTCCCCTCCCTACCTGTCACCCCTGTGAACTCTTTGCTCAGTATAGGGGATTCCTTCTTTCCCCAAAATACCATCCTCTTTCCACATTGGGCCATTGTGTCTGCCATTCTCCTCTTTCCATTATTCTTCCTTTCAGGCCTAACTCGGATTCTTTACCTTCCTCTAAGACCTTCATCGAAAACTCCAGCACTCAGAGATTTCTCCCTTTCTTTTCAATTCACCAGTATGTAATGTCTGTACCTTTCTATTGGCACTTGGCATGTTATCATACTTGTTATTACCCTTTCTTAGTGCTGGACATATTTTTACTCTAACTAGATAATAGGTTCTTCCAGGAATTTTTCCTGGAAATTGTATACATTTGTATACATTTTGAATACAAAATTTGTATACATTTTATACATAGTCTAACATACACTATGACCAATACATAGTAGATTTTGTACAGATTCTTGATCTTATAAAATGGCAGAAGCACATGAGGCTCAAAGAATTTGTGGAAATATTCTCAAGCCAGGTTAGCCAGCTTACCTTAAACAATCCACTTAAATGGTCAGGAGGATCCAAGCCCACTGACAGTTGTGTTATTCACACGGTGGGCAGCTCCAATTGTTTGAGAAAGCATCGTGTGGTAGAACCTAAACAGTTCATAACAAATATTTCAGTGAAGTGGCGCTTTGCCTGATTCAATCCTGCCATAACACTGCCATTGTCCACCTCTGTCTGCAAGGAGAGTACACTGTATGTGTACAGTCTGGAGCTGGGCATGAGACACATACCTGAAAACTCTCAATTCTGTGTTTGCTCTACTCAAATTGTTTCTCTTGTCTCTTTTCAAATTTGAAATTGTATACGTGTATGATTTCTAGCATTTGGGATATTTATTATGTCTCATGAAAGCCAGATGACTATCTCGTTCTCTAATGATATGGAAGAATTATCACAACCCACTCCCCTAGCACCCACTGGCATTTTAGCCAACAATATCTCACTTTTTATTCATTTATTTTATTTTATTTTATTTTATTTTATTTTATTTTATTTTATTTTTGAGACAGAGTCTCACTCTGCTGCCCAGACTACAGTGCCATGGCATCAGCCCAGCTCACAGCAACCTCAAACTCCTGGGCTCAAGCAATCCTCCCTCCTCAGCCTCCCGAGTAGCTGGGACTACAGGCATGTGCCACCATGCCTGGCTAATTTTTTCTATATATTTTTAGTGCGTGCCACCGCACACGGCTAATTTTTTCTATTTTTAGTAGAGATGGGCTCTCACTCTCACTAGGCTGGTCTCGAACTCCTGAGCTCAAGCAATCCTCCCACCTAGGCCTCCAGAAGTGCTAGGATTACAGATGAGAACCACTGTGCCTGGCCAATATCTACGTTTTTAAAAATGCCAACAGGATTTTTATACCAGTTCAAATCGATGTATTAATTGATGCAATCCTCAATTAATGTATTCCCTTTTTTCTTCCCATAATTACTGAGCAGTGAAATGGCAACATGATGGAAACAAAAGGGAGAAGAAAGAACAACAAAGACGCTGATCATCCAAAACTGAAGGAGCAGCTCATGAATGATGGAAAGCCCTCTGCACACAAATTGCCAGGGGAAGTCGTTTCTGTTTTTCTATAATATTGTCTTTAGTTGCCTCTACCCCAGTCAGAAGAAGTCCATTCCCCAGTCCAAGAGGGTACACTTTGTATTCTGCATGAATCCTCGTGTGAATGAAAAATGGCTAAATTCTCATTGTTAAATAGAATAATAAACTTAACAGGGTACATTCCCTAAATTAAAATTCTCGTTACAAAGAGGAGACACATTCTTGTCTACCCCACTACCTTTATTCTTTATCATTTGCTTTGTTCCTCACTGCAGAAACCTGGAAGAACCTCGCTCAATGTATTGTCACAGAGACAACCCAAAGCCATGTCCAGTGGAAAGTAGGTCACGGGGAGAAGCTGAGCTCACTAACTTCTTCTGTCTTTTTTGATTGAGATATATATGGTGCTTTCTTGATCTTTTGCTCTATCTTCTACTGATTATATATATACATATATATAATGTATGTATGTGTAAAATGACCATTCATGATATCATATACTTTATGCCAAACTAGTCCATTGTTACTCATCTTCTGATCTTTTAGCATACAACTTACAGACAGAATATTAAAATCCAAGAAGGATTTAGCTCAGTGCAAATGTTGCCACTGGTAACCCATGGTAATAAGGTAACCCTATATATTCACAAGTGCCATATGTTACATGCATAGATACATATGCAGACAGAGAGACTGTTTTTAGAAAACTCATGCCTTCCAATAAAAAAAAAAAATGTATTCCCTGGAGTACATCACCAGAGCTTTGGGCCATTGATCCAATTTACTCTCCAACTTTCAGAGCTTTATTTCTGGTTTTACAGGAATTACAGGAAAACCAAGTTATAAAAGTTCTCAGGAAACAAAGAATGAGTATTTACTGACAAGTCCCAGTAAAATGAATTCTATCAGTAGAAGCCCAAATGTAAGCCACTTACAGATTTACATTTGAGCCAGATAGAAGGTTTTTTTTTAAAGGATGTATATTTTTGTGTTCATTTTCTTATAAAGTAATATTCCCTACTCTCTACTATTAATATATAAAGATGACCAGTAAAATAAATACATATATATATATGAATTTTTTAATAGACTGTGATTTTTCCATGTCCCTCTCAAAAGTCAAAGCCTCAGGACACAGAAGATAAGTTAGAAGACAAAGTGCACTCATATTTTTTTTAGCCCAGCAAGACAATACCAAACTTGAACAGCAGCTCCGCTTAGTCTATCAGAGGAATGTGTAACATTTATTTCAAAAGAGAAATCTACTTTTTCACAAGACCTTATAGGCTTCTTAACACCTTCTTGGTTTGTTCCAGGATGGAAAGAGAACATATTCAAACTCGATGGAAACATTTAATCTGGAAGAGAATAGCCATGTTTGTTTTGTTTTAAAAAAAAAACAAAAAAAAAACTTTGGTGAATGCCTCCAGAAAGATTACAAAATGCAGCAACATGAATGAAGGCTTAGAAGGTCTCAAATCAGAGTTTCTGAAGCTTCCCAGTATGTCATCTCATCTGGAATGACCACTTGCTGTCACACATATAGAAGGCTGCCTCGGTTTCCACATGGGACTAGAACTAGACAGGTTCCTATCGCTATGCACATGTATTTGGTCTTGATTCCAAAGGGCATAGTACAAAGGAATAGTGGCACATGCTACTATTACTTAAATAATTTTGGAACTTTGTTCTTTGGAGCAAAGGTGCTTTCTCTTACACATTCTTAAATATTCCTAAGAATATTTTTATATTAGTCTATACTTCTCTGTGTTTCCTCTGATGGTGTGTATTACCTTGATAGCCAGAATAAAAAAATTTTTTTAAGAAGGACAACAGCAATGTCTGACGGAAGTCCCCTAGAGTCCATTCTATGTCCCAGAGAACATGCTTCCTTCCTCTTCTGACACTCCCATCGTGACTGTAGCCTTCTTTTCCCCTTTCTCGCCAAGATCCCTTCCTGTTCTGGGAACTCCCTCTGGGCCCCTGCTCCTCCGTCTAGATAAAGCCTCCCCTCTTCTCTAAAGCCCCTACTATTCTCTCTTCTTCCTCACTTTTATATAATTTTACATCATGGTAGTCTTAAGGAATCGCAGTTAACAGACCTAAAGTGCCATGAATAATCTGTTACCTTCACCTGTCCACACTACAGAGCAGTGGGAATGAGGAAGGTTTCTTCTAGGCCAAGAATTACCAAAAAGTCAGTTCATATCAGCTGTGATAATTCACAAAGCAATGCGCGTCCTGGTAATTTGGTTCTTTTTAGTACCTTCATTTTCCTGTTAAAAAAAAAAAAAAGATAAAGCCTGGATCCAAATATAAGTGTATCTTTTTTTATAACCTCAAGCTAGAGCAAAGCAATGTCTCATAAATTTTCAAGAAGTAAATAAATTCATAATAACAGAGAAACTAAAAGAAAAAAAGGAAAACATTACTTTCTTCTATATTCTTAAGTTTTTTCTGTGTCCACACACAGTAATACATTCCTAGGTTCTTAAATCTAACCTCTTTTGAACACATCACTTATGTTTTGATGGGGGTATGAAGGAAAGACTTACAGATTCGTTCTGAGCAGCTGAAGAACCTATAGACTATTGCACTAAAAAAAAATAAATAACCACTTGAACACTGTCCCTTATTCCTTCCTTCTTCAGAGGCTTTTCATTCTCTGCTGAGTCTTATAAGCTCTGCTGTTTCAAGTCTGCTATGTTCAAAAAAAAAAAAGCATGAGGTGCTGGGGGGATAGAAGTCATTTGTCATTTCTGAAAAATAAAGGTAAGCCCAGTGCACTGTGGGGGAACAGTTGTTGCATAAGGCATGGATTTGCTATAAATGCAGGGAGAGGTATAGAGGTACATCTCAAACACTGTAGATGGATTTAAGATAAAGTTGGATTTATTGACTCAAAAAAATATAAACAAATTAATTATGACATACTATTTAAAATAAAATATATAGTGCATTTCAAAGGCAGAAAAATACAACAAATCAGCTATGGCAATAATCTCTTCATATGATTTCTGTAACTTGACATTTCTTGTTAATTTGGAAGTGAGGAATCAGCTGTAGGGCATTGAAAAAAAATTAGAATTCATGCAAACATCTTCTCCAACTTCTCTTTTTGACAAAATTCCCAGGATAATTTAAGGGATTTGTCTTAATGTTTCCTTATTCTAGGAAATCTAATGGAAACTTGACAATGAGGGGGGAAAAAAAAGCAAGAGTAATAAGTAAACAACAATGCTTGCATGGGAGAATGGGTGAAAGAAATACACTGAGTGAGGCCCATCTGTGGCTGATCCCAAATGTCAATAAAGAGTTTTTGTAAGAAGGCATCAATTAAAAATAAAGCATATGTATTTGAGAGGATTTTTAACTTTGGGTGAAGCTTCTTTGCCATATTCATGTAGATTGTTTATGCAATAGGTTTTTCCATGAAATGTTAAAATGTACCATGTGATTTAAATTTTAATAAGAATATACCCAAAGTCTAGCAACTGAGATTTTCCTCTAAATATCACCCTTCATGCTTTACCAATTCATTTTTCACTCTGTTCTCTATCCTCCATTCCTCCATAACACCTTTTTCAGGCTGACTGCTATTTAACATCATTTTCCATTTAGTTTCACCACCCTAAGTAGATCTTCCCTGCACCTATGCTATAAGATAGGTACCCAAGCTATGCGGTCCCACATTGCTCTGGAATTCTTTTTACAACATTCATTCCAGCTCACATTACTTGTTTAATTGTCTTCCCCCAAGAGAACAAGTTCCAAGAGCAAGAAATGTGTCTATCTCATGAGCTGTACTATCTCCATGACAGTCAATAATATTGCCTAGCACTCAAACACTTTTGTTAAAGTGAGTTGCATCAGGCTGTTTAAATTAGGCCAAACACATTTCCAACAATTTGCTGATTAAAAGTATAACGGAGAATGGATTTTTAAATTATAAAAAAAAAATGTCAAGTAAGTAGGTGCAACAAATTTGAATTGTTAATAATTCCTTCAACAACCTTGTAAGTGTTTGCTGTCACTATCAACTGCTTGCATTACCTTCCACAGTCTTCTTCTTTCTTTTCTTCCTTCTGGAACTCTGTTCCTACAGCAGTATTTGTCCTGTTACTCCATGACACCATCATCAAGGAGGAAAACTTAATGTTCATAGTAACAGCAGCAATAGTTCAAAACTAATAACTCCATTTCTTCTTGGTGGGGTTACCGTCCCAGCTCCAGCTGCTCTGTGCTCAGCCATAGGTATAAGAATCCCCAAGGTTATTATCTAAAATGAAACCATTGTTATTTCTGTTAACTACAAAGCAAACATCCAGGTGAATGTTTCAGAAGTCACTATGTTTCAGAAGCTACTATGTTTCAGAAGTCACTAGAGCATCATTTAACCCATTGACATTCCCAAAACTAAGGGTTTCCCAATGGACCCAATGTGGGCGCTCTTAGTGCTGTGGACACCCTTGCGAGATAATGTCTGTCCAACTCTCAGATGTTACAAGATAAAGTTGCTCAATTTCAGAGCATCAGTTTTCAAAAAGAATGGAAAAAAAATTCTGGAACCATGATTTCTGAAATGCCCCAGAGCCAGCTGAGATAATCCTATAATCATTAAGCCTGAGTGATTCATCAATGATTCAAATGACCAATCAACCAAACACAAACAGGCAAAAAACTTTCGTGATGATATCATATTTGCTAGAGTCAAGATCATCTAGAAAATAAGTGGCTGATGTAGAAAATGTAGGATACAATTTCATAATTAGCCAAAACCTACCAGAAATAATCACTGTTGATTTTACTTACCATGTATTTTACTTGGTAATGGAAAAAATATATATTTACAGATTACCTAGTAGGTTGGGTACTATGACAGTTTTTTTTAGTTTTAAACTTTTTTTAATTATAAAACAATGATAAAGTAAGCCACAGCCTAGGAGAAAAATATATATTTATGTATGAAAAGAATTCATATCCAAAATATATAAATAACTCATACATTTATGCTTGAAAGATCATTGATACTAAAAAAAATTACAAACCAAATTTTAAAAATGAACAAAATACTTGAAAAGGCATGTCACCAAAGAAGGCACTTTAATGGCCCATGAATACATGAAAAGACACCCCAAATCAAGAGTAATCAAGGATTGCAAATTAAACCCACAATGAGCTGCTACTACACACTAGTAGAATGCTAAATTGCAAAGATTAACAATACCAAGTGCCAGTGTGCTTGTGGAACTCTCATATATTCCCAGTGAGAGTGTTAACTGGTACAACCACTTTGGAAAATTGCTTTGCAGTTTCTAATAAAGTTAAACACATACATACATTCCAACCTAGGTATGTGTTCAAGATAAATAAATGCAGATGTCCAGAAAAGGCTTGAGCAAGAATGTTCTGAGCAGCTTTGTTCATCATAGCCAAAAAGTAGAAACATTACAAATATCCATCAACAGGCGAATAAGTATCTGTGAATACATCCATATGGTTGACGGTATGAGTAGCTCATTCTCTTTTGTTGCTGAATAGTAACCTAGTGCATGAATATAATAAAAATTTCTCAACTTCCAGGTAGGTACCAAAATCTATATTAGTTATCCTACAGCTGCTACCATGATCTGTGAATTACCTTTTCAATAAAATATAGTGTTGATAATAACATCGATGTTCTACATAATACAAAATTCCTTAGGATATATAGGAAAGCACTATATGTCCTTTTCATTAGTTGCATTATCATAATGAGTCAACAGTTATATTTTAATATCCAAAATTCCAATGATCCCTGACCCAAGTAAGACAGAATGCACAAAGCTAAAAATGAGGAATTATTATAGATTTATCCCTTAATGATAATTTTTAATAATAAATATCCTATAAAAAATCTAAAAATATTGCAAATAGATTAAGAGCCCAAAAGGATTCCTTGATAATTAAGAACAGAGATGTTTAAATGTCCTTGCAAAGTCATGTCCGTTTGTCTGACAGATGTCCACATTCCACTAAGGACCATATTTATATTCAGAATATAAATAACACTACCATCCCTTTCAATATTCTTATTTAATTGTATTTACCTAGAGACCGATGAAAATAAATACTAAGAAATCTTTAATTTATTTTTTACATTTCAGGTAGCAAGTGGGATGCACACAGTAAATTGTACTGCAGTGCATTTTCCAATCTAGAAACAGTCAGTATGCAGCTCAGTCACCGAAACATGGCAATTGGGATGTTTTATGGATGTTAATTTTGAATATACTTAACCTATTTCCTATTCAATTTTCTACATTTATTATCTGTGTTGTTTCATTTGAATTATAAAATTCATGAGTGCTTGGTTGTATTTTCCTTGTTTTGTTGGATAAGAAATAGCTCATCACCTGAAATGGGAACTCCATAATGAACCACAATGATCATCTTGATCATAACCTCCTCACCATGAAAATTGCTTTGAGCAATCAATGCAATACTTATTGATCAGAGCTCTCCTAGCCTATAAAACAGATTAAGTAGCCACTCATAGGTAGTTGGTAAAACAATCAATGGTATGAATATAAATTTCAAAATACTTACGAGCAAAGCCTTGGTGTATAGCTAGCACTTGGTATCCAAAACTGACAGAAGTCTTTCTTCAAAAAGAGTATCTACTGAAATGACCCATTACCAGGATTATAGCCTGTTGGGAGATTTAACTCTTAAGCTAACTCTTAAATTAACCTTTGAAATTAACAATACCAACTGGTAGTGTGCATGTGGAACTCATATATTCTCAGTAAGAGTGTAAAATGGTACAACCACTTTGGAAAAGTTAAGCTAACCCTTAAATTAACCTTTCAAGTTATCTGACATTCATGGTTTAGAGTGAATTACATAAAGAATGCCCCCTCTAAATTTTAGGTGAGATGGAGCTTCACCATGGTCTATCTCTTACAGCTTTGATGGAGAAAAAAAGTAGAAAGAAATAATAGCTGATTGATTTTTGAGTGTGGAGTGGGTGTGAGTTCACAGGTTTGTGGAAGCCTCTGACCAGAAAGAGAACCACCTGATGGCTCAGTTCCTGAAGGAGAAGCAGACACTGAGGGGACAGTAGGGATATATCAGAAAAAATTATCGCATCTTGGGATATGTTCTAAGACATAAAGACCAGAACAAACAATCCTGCACAGAGCACTAATTGTTTTTTCATTTTTTCATATACAGATGACTTTTAAAAATAGAAATAAAGACTTAGACTTATTGGAGAATAAAAAGGTAAA